ATGCGTGCTGTTTATACACCTTAATACACACACACACACACATATATATATAAAATACGACCCTGCAGGAACCATTGAATAGGAAAAGCCCCGGGGTCACCGAAAAAGACAGTGTTCGGTGTGTGTTGCTGCAGCTGGTTACAACAGATAAAGTCTACTAATTTTACACCTAGTACACAAGAATGTTTTCCCATACATATCCGTGAACACGACCCACGTCGACCTCCTCCTTCCGCCCGTCGACCTATTCACATTTTATACTATACACCTGTACGTGTGTGAACCGCACCCGAAGGAAACACGGTCCAATTTTCTGATAACATTCTCCCCAACGCTCTCCCCCCCCCCTACCGATTCCACCAACGCCTTTTGAATTTATTGCCCACTCGTGGACACCGAGTGATAACATTCGAATTTCCGTGTGAGCATTTTCCTGATAAATTACAGCACGAAGCTTGTTTTTTTTTTGTTTTTTAATCAGACCAATTACTCTTGCTCGTTCCTTTGCAGTAATATATTACAAGAAAAAAAAGTACAAGTTTCAATTAACTTTTTTATTTTATTTTTTCGGAATCACCATACAAGTACAACCACGTGGTATGTACAATAGTTGTCTAATAAGGTAGTATCTGGATATGTCCATACGTGTATTTTAACAAGTTTTCTATTTTGGAGATTAATTTTAAATAACCTAAAGATTAATAGCACTTTTTGTTTCATAATAATATACTGACAAGTGATCATTCTTTTTATATGCGTTACAATATGGTAAAACAAATCTAATTAAAACATTATATTTATATTCATACACGTATGACACAAAAACAATAAACTAATAGATTGATGTCAAACTATGTATAATATTTTATGGTGGAATTGTTAAATCTAACATATTTATAAGCAATGGAAAATTCGCTTTAGGTTTTATATAGTGTCGTATTATTGTGTGTATTGACAAACCCAATCTAACAACAAATGCTTATTGAGATTTGATTTAGCTACGAGCAAACGACATCAAATTTAATACAATAAACGTAATTTTTTTCTTTAAAAAAATATCTATATATTTATAAATATTTCATAACCATAATATAGGGTGTTCCACAAAGAAGCCACATTTTGAAAATTCTATAACGTTTTTAATATTCGTACAAAAATAAAATAACACATACCATTGTGTTCAGGAGGTCCTGAGGTTTATGTGTGGAACATAACATCAGGCATATGACCGCCCCTGCTCGCCCTACAGCCATCGCCCTGTCCATGAAATTTCGAATAACGAGTTCGCAGATTTCGACGTCTAGGTCACCCATCACTCGCCTGATTTCTGCCTTCAGCTGGTTGAGATCACGAGGTTTGTTTTCGTAGACCTGGCACTTTACGTACCTCCACAAGAAAAAGTCTCAGGGGGTCAAGTCACAAGACCGTGGTGGCCAGATCAGGTTAGGAAATCAGGCGAGTGATCCGAACACATCATCCGAAATTTCATGGACAACGGTATGTGTTATTTTTTTTTTGTACGAATATTAAAAAAGTTATAGAATTTTCAAAATGTGGCTGCTTTATGGAACACCCTTTATATCATATTTTTATTCCCTTGGACTCCTCGCCTACACAAAAATTTAATATTTTTTTATATATTGTTAGACGTGCCGTGTATCGGAAATTGCGAAATTTAATATTATTTTTCTCACGCGTTATTGAAAGTTGATTCAATCAGTTGCTCGAAACAGTCTTGGCTGTAACAATAAAGCCATTCAGTTCAAACAGCAACGTTTCGTACCATATGCCAGTATAAATGTTTTTTCCTATTGTGCGCAAAGTATGTTTTTTCGTATAAATAATTAATATTCAAGAATTTTATTTAATATGTTTGACTAGATATTTACACGACAAAGTATAATAAATATGTCAATAAAATGTATACTTACATTATACAATAAGGTATATAAAACGTTTTTATATTTATCTATATAATGCTATAGTTGGTACTATGTACATTTAAGATGCGTCGATAACTCATGCATATAATATATGTATACATATAGTTATTGATTAAGTATGAATTTGGTTTTAAGTTGTGAATTTCGTTTAAAAGACTTTAGTACAATAATCCAGGGGGAAGCGTTGGGTTGAATAGAGCTGCACGCAACGTGAACTCGAATGGTATTATAGTGTATGTACAATACCTAATAGAATTCGTAGAACTATTCGCCGTGTCGGAATATAATACATATTATAATAATTTAACGGGGCCAGAGGCTATAGGACATCATAGTGTGTAATATGAGGTCGACTGCCGTTAAAAAGCTTGGCCACATGCGGGAAATCTTGTATGTTATCTTGTGGGGGCCTTACAAATTACAGACTCGTTTATTGCATTTTTTCCACGCGCCGGCCGTTTGGACGTTGTTGGCCTTTTCCCACCGATTTCCGTTGCCCCAAACTATTTTTTTTCCTTCCAACCTTTGCCACGCGTACCAAGCATATACGTGACCGTTTTAGCTAAGTTTTCGTGGCAGACTTATTGCGAATCCGTAAACGTTTTCAGCCGAGATCAGCAGAAAAACACCGTGTCCGCCAAATAGGTTTTAACGCCCAGCGGGCCCGGCTCCAGTCATCAGACGCCAGCAAAAGTAATAATCGCACTAGTTGTATGTATATATATATTGAATTGTTAACACTAGTCTCAACCGTTGTTTTGGCCGTTACATGTTTTGAAATGATCAATTGTTTCAAAAACAACTAAGGTTAAAAAAAAATGCCTCTTCAATCTATACTATCTAACTATAGATAACTTGATATAACTGAAGATAATATTTTAGACAAACGGCTTACTTACAATTACTCTATTAGACGAACTATACTATACTGGAAAAATATAAGTAAAAATATGTTTGCGGTAAGATACGAAAAATGTTTTGATTACAATTTAACCCTATATTAACGAATGCTCCAAATCCATCTCAGTGGACCAAGCTACCAAATTTACCGGAATAACTATCGCGGGATTTTAATAATACCCTTTTCAGAAAACAAAATAAATAAATGTTTCAGATTTGGGTACATATAAGTACAGTTAATGGTCCCACCACCATAGTTTTAAAACTAAAGTCTAACACCTATCTGCAATACTACTTCTCGGCTATATTTAACTACAATTTTGGTCTACTAGTTACTACTATTAATACTACTTCCCTGATCCCACTATGTCCACATTGACCTCATTGTGATTGATATTGTTATCTTCATTAATTTCCAAAAACTCTTTTATGTTCTTAAATTCGAGTCCTATTATAAGTAGTTTATAGTATTTTTCTTGTTTGAAAAAACAAAACAACTCTTACCATAAAGCTATTTCGAAATTGCTATACCTGCACCATGTAATGCTTGTTAATACTTGTAGGGATTAAGGCGGTGTGACGGATCAGAATATCTCGGTAAATAACATTTTCGCACACAGTACGAAATAGAGTATGGAAATCACCGGGACGACCCACTCGGAATTCATTTGAGGATATACAAAATTAGTGGACAATTCGTACGACGTCGTCTTGTTATAATAATAATGTTCTATTATATTATCATAAGGTCCCAGACTGAGGAATAACGATTAACGGCATGTAAAATGGCTGATGTATAATGAAGTTCTGAGCCAAAAAATTGTTGGAAACGATACAATTCGCTGAAATCTACCGAACTATTTAGAGCGTTTGCGGTGTATTAATTAAAGGGCGTTTAACTTAATATTTTTTACTTCATACAATGTACTGATGTTTTGTAAAGAAAAAACGAGTGTTTGTAAAATAAACAAAAATTAACAAGAACAAGATACACTTAGTGTATATTTTAATAGAGCCTTTAATAAAATTAAACATTTTCCTTTTACCATAAAAAAGTACAACAATATTATAATATTATACGATAACGCTATGTGAAATATTAATCGGAAAGAATTTCACAAATAACAGACATATTTTTTAAAAAATATTTGACGTCGAGACAAACGAAAAACGTTAACCGTATTATACACATTTTCTATTATTATTATTATTATTATGTACCTACTCCCCCTCATTCTAAACTAAGTAATAATAATAATAAAATGCTCGAAGGTTCGTGTGTATACACAAAAGCTTTGGCTGGATTTTCGTCGTAGCCCAAAATAAACACTCTTATACAGGTCTTAATTCAATGTATATATATATTCACAAGATTCTGTGCATCTTTCCTTTTTTTAGTTTTTATTAAAAAAAATATATATAAATATATAAACGTATATTGAATCGCGTTAAACAATAATACAAATTTGTACGCGTCAATAGAACTGATCGAATTGGTTATTATTATTATATTTGTTAATTTTTTTAGTTTAAACGCAAAATTTCTATAAAAAATAAAACTGTAAATTACCACGAAATAAAAAGCTCTGGACGATAAAATATATTGCCACGAACAACGCCATTATTGCGCTAGTTTCATTCGCCTAAACGAGCCGTTTAGAATTTATTTTCTTAATTTGTTGTTTATTTTTTGCGCTTCTGTGTTTTTGTACCCGTGTTAATTACTATAACGTTTTTTCCCCCGTCGACCCTCTTTTATTCCCTAACTAACCTAAACCGCCACCGACACCTTCATCGATCGGCCTTTCTTTACACTCTAATTAAGCGCCGCAACCGCCAAACTACAAGTAAACGACACCACGCCCGAATATACGTTTATTATACAGCTCTCAGGTCCCGACTGAAAAAAAAAACAATAGCCATAATAATTATTATTCCAGCAAAACAACAATATTTTATTAAATGTTTAACTTAAAATGTCCGCGTTATTCTAGCCAGGCCGGGCAATATATTATTATAATAGCATAACTATTACTGTTACACGTTTCTACTATTCTAGTGATTTTATAACGGTTTAACACAATGTGTACCGCATACACACACTATTTTAACGATGCTGCGGCGCTATTACAATAAACCTACTCCAATATGTCTTACCTGGATTAAAGCGTGCTGGGCTTAAGTACGAAACGGATTGGCTTCCTTTTCAAATGAACCTGAAATATTCAAAACGCATTGTTATTAATTCATTATTATCATTATCGCAACGCTTCCTTTCTTTGTATGCGCTTCAATGCTAGACGCGAGCGTATATTACTATATTTTACATAGTTATATTATTATTTGTCGACTTCAACTTCCAAGTACTAAAACGAATGGAACAATTTCAGACGACGCGACGGGAGGAGGCTTACAAATATATCACACATCCATTATGTACAATAGGGCATGTTGTTCTGTCTGAAAAAGTTAAAAGTTACAAGGAAGCCAGCAGATGTCGTTTGTTCTCATGATGTTACAAAAGAGACTCACGGGGAGGATAAACGTATTTCATACTACAGCTAGGGTTAAAAATATCCCGGTAATCGAAGTGCTTTTTTCAAAAATACATCTAACTTACACGGTATCTCGCTTATTTTTGACTATTTACGTTTACAAGTTTGTTTGTTTTTAAATTGTTTGTCTACTACTTTTATCTTGTCCAACTATTTGTTTTTTTTTTATATTTATCTTCTTTAAAATACCGAAATAAAATAAACGTCTCGAAAACAAGTTATTTACATAAAAATACCCGTCGAATTCATCAACGGGAAATTATAAGCGTTCAAAACGCCGCTCAAAATACACCTCAAATACTTCAACTACATCAATCTGATTGGGTTTAAAGGGAACATTTAAGGTTTTAACAGTTTAGTATGGACTTGTTAAACTCCTCTATTAGTTGTCATTTTTAATAAAGTAATGCCATATTCGAAGTTTATTTTACTTTCCTTCATTCAGAATAAAACAATATAGTACTGATGTTGCACTATATAAATGAAGGAATAATATAATACCTTCTACATGTTACTACAAGTACTACAGGTTCTTGAAAAATAAGATTAATCTTGAAATAAATAAATACAAGAAAACATGAATATACTATGCAATATAAAAAGTTTGTTCAACGATAAGACAAAATATTTTAAATAATATATGATCTTGGATTTTATTTTAATAGTTGTCATTGGACTAATTTTGAAGTCTCCCGTGTGAAATAGTTCATTGTTAAGCACACTGCGATCAGTCATTAATGATTATCAAATCATCGCCAGGATGTCGATACAAATAGTACTTATGGTGTGTATTTATATATTTTTTTTTTACTTTAATCTTGTGTTCAACCGTTGTAAAACTGTATTATTTCTAATACATCCATGACAGTGAGATTCTATTCGTTTCCGGTAACAACAACAACACATACGGTGGTGGTTATCTTTCCGGCAACATGAATACTTCACCAAGAAATCCAAACAATAATGAATTGAAAACTGTCGCTTCATGTGCATTCAAAACGAATAAGATTACGAAACCTACCGTTACAGAAAAATGAAATATAATATCGTCCGTTCGACTATGTCGTATAAGGTTTATCAGAATTTTGTTTTCACAAAAGAAACCGTGAAATAATTCTATAAGTAAGTAATGTAAAACTAAATAATTTCAATTTCTAAAAGATTCAACCGTAGATAGATAATTTACGATTAACTGTTATAATTTTTTTTTTTGTAATTTTACCTAAAACTGAATACCTTATATTGTTAATATATGCATAATAATCAAAATGTGTACGGTGTAAGTACATATAATAATAGCGTTTACAATTAAAATTATAAAAAGTGTCCACACAGTGTGACTAACCAAATTAAATTTTACTCGTCCCAAAAATGTAATTCTAATTTATATTATTTAATAACTATTACTTATTTTAACTGTTAGTAAAATATAAAAATAAATACAACCCAACGTTCTTACGGAGTGCGATAAATTATTTATTATAGTATAGTCATAAACTTAAAATTCAAATAACGTGGACTTTTATACAAACATCTGCGCGTATATTGATTTCGAATTGTAAAAGCTTTTATTTCGTACTTTGTACCAAAAAAACAAAAACTTTCGCAATCCTTAAAAATCGAATACGACTTGTAATAATTAAAGAAATGCGATAATTCGGTCATATTTCAATGTCATTTCAGAGTAATTATTTAAATTTGGCATCCAGCTAGCTGCCTAATATAATAGATATAGTTGTAATAAACGAATACGCGCTTCTTCTCTAATTTCTTTAAAAATAACAAAACCTAAAAGTCAATACTGATACCGTGCACAGATCTTAGTTTCATCTAAAATGTTTACGTAATATCTCATACAAATTTAAAGATAATCTTAGAAAAACGTAAAGTACATAAAAACGCGTTTTAACATGATTATTAAAAAAAAAGGATAGATAATTTAATATCATACGACCCTAATTTCAGCTAATATTTGTTGTTAGGTTATCTAAGGCAAGCAATCTCCGACTAACCAGTAACGTTAACGAAGTTATAGCTGTTATGTTTGTACACATAAGATTAATTATACTGGCGAACGTTTCTTGATAAGGTTTGTTGGCGACCACAAAAGCTTTTTCTGTTCTTGCACGCCGTATTACTGCTCAAGACAGGCTATCATAATAATATTATTCAGATTTATCTGACCATTACAACAGACGTCTACCTACTCTCGATGTATTTGCGACATCAAAGCCCATCAACCGAGAGCCCAGTGTACCTTTCCAAACAATACTACCTATTATACTCTGCTGTGTAGCTAACCCAAGTTATACAATTATATTAATGTATAATGTAGAGTTAAAATGGTATAAAAAAATAACATTAAAACGTTGGCACCACAATGTATTTTATTAGTATATAAAAATAAGTAACATTGACCAATAAAGTAAAATACTATAATCATATGAATCAGAACTTTTCGAAAAATATAAAACCATTATAATAAACTACTTAGGAAAATATTATTTATTTTTAAATTTCCATAATATAAAAAACTAATACACCGTCTACTATGAATTATTACAGAGAAATGCTGTTTTTAAATTAGATTTATATATTTCCTTGAATGCAGAACAACCAATTTTATTTTTTAGTTTCATGACCAACAGACTTGAGTTTTTATAAATATTTTTGTCTTTTACCTTCCATTTTTATTTACACTTACTAGTTTTGCATTCGTTAAGTATGAAGAGCTGTTTTTGTTTTTTTTTTCTTCGAAAAGTTTTAAAATTCGTAGCTAAGACGATTTTCGATACGGTCGCCAAAAAGTGTATAAATTATGAATTCAAAAAGTTTTCTCGGTGTTTTTTTACGTACAACATTATCGAACTTGCAGAGAATGGTGAATTAAATAGCGGCGACAGGATTGTTAAGTAATATTATTTATCATAAGGAAGTAGCCATTGGATTTGTTTGGTTTTCGATGTTTTCAGATAACTGATAAAAAAACAAAACGGCTATAAGTGGATGGCTGGGAAATATTACAACAACGCACGGCGGGATTGATTTGAAGTTTTTCTGGCTTTGTGTGCCCGTCTAAATAATACCTACAACACAATAGCGTGCAGTACGGATTATTCATCAGCGTGTGGACGGGGATTGGATTTTGAGAGCTCGCTATGTTTACAGTAATGATTTTAGCAGATAATTTTGTACCTCAGCCGTTCTGCTGCGGTGAACCTATTGTAACGCACAGGGTTAGCACAGACTTTTATCATTCGCCGGTTGCAGCTTTTATACCGAATAGTCCGGAGAAATGATAGAGAAAAAAACCGACATATCTAGTTTGACGAGCAAACACTGTACACATATAACATGGTATATGAACTCACGTTCGAACGCCAGACTTGTGTGTATTCATTCCGTCAATGACACCAACCGTTGTATGTCATTTGACGTAAACTGTACACACTACTCGTATGTATTATTATATAGTTTAAAATACAGTAAATATAGTTTCAAAAGAAGTAAACGGACATCACTAGTGTTCCCCGTTCTAAAGTTCATTATATTATGTATTCGATAAACAAATAAAAAACAATTCTACACTTCTTCCCTCGCCCGCGTCTGTTGCGGGAATGCAAACAAAAATTAAATTAAACTCGTTAACGACTATTTATTGTCAAGCCATATTGGTTTCGATAAATGTTTAATAAAATATGCGTATATATATATATATATATATATATATATATATATATATATATATATATATTATTAATTATATATATTAAATATATTATTATTATTTTTATAATATTATAAAATATATTTATAGTTACATACACTTACATACACAAAAATAAAAAATAAAGTATAATATAATTCAGTAAGGCTATTAAATTATGAAAAAAGCCAATATTTTTTTTTCAGCAAGCTATTTTTTTTTTTTGTTTCAGTTAACATCCAAAATATTAACTGCCGGATAATAGGTACTTAAAGATAGTAATAATAGGTGAATTCTCTTCTACTCCCAGAGTGTTCAATACATCATATACGTTAAACATAATCAAGTCTCAAAAATAAATAACAAATCTGCTTATTCAATAAATAAAGCCAGAACACTCTCCAAACAATCTCAAAAACGATTAAGTGCAAAATTGATTTACACCAACTCATTAAAATCGATATAAATATACTATGTGTAATTCATAATTTGATACATGAAGAAGCCCTTAGTCATGAACAGCAGCTAATAACTGTAGCCAATGGTGGCATTAAAATCATAACTAAACACTTGAGCGACAAAGCACGTGGCGGTATAGCGTGTTTAATAAGTTTTCCAATAAATATAGACAAGCAACGTCCGACTACTGCCACCGCAAGGAAGAGCGGACGAAGAAAAATTATAAGAATATTTTTTAAAACCTAGGCAACAGATTCATTGTTGAAGATTATTACAAGTGACAACGCTAAGCAAATGTATTGTGAGTCGAAGTTAATCATCCTAAAAAATACATATCTTCCTGAAAGTGATGCACAGTATTAATTCTGAAATAATGTTCACTAGAGAGCCGTCATACTGGCCAGCTGTCCCCGAGAAAATTCCAGATCGGCTCGACTTTTCCGTGGTGATATGACCACGTCACTATGCTCCTCACGTTAACCTCAAACGTCTAAAA